CAGTTTCTACCTGAGCTGAACCAGTGCTCCCACCGTGCCTCACAAGAGGGTTTTTCCTCTCCGCAGGGGGAGAGGAGAACGAGACCGCTTCAGGCTGACTGGTGTGTTGTGACCTTCAGAGGATGGCTGTCTTACCGTGCCCTCCTCCTCAGCACAGGAGCCTCAGCAGCTGCTTTCCTGACTCACCAGCTCAGGCTGCCAGCTGTGTTAGGTCTCACAAAAACATGGGTCCCCTCACTCAGATCTTCCAGACGGCGGCCAGATAAAGCTTGGTCCTTTGGGATACTCACCAAGGGATTCACAAGGCTGGATTTGGGAACCAGTTTTCACCAAGTTCATGCAGTTCTGGCGCTAACTAACTCAAGCAGAGAAGGGTGGCTGGATACACTCAAAAAACTCTCATTGAAAGACCATTGCAAACTGCTGTTGGTACTTTTAGAAGGATGTGTATTTCACTAATAGACTTACCTGATCTTTAAAACAGCCTGTGCTGTAACCTCTGTTTGTCCCCAAATTTGTCCCCAAAATGTCCCCCAAGAAAAACCATGAAGCAAAAACATTCCATGCGAACCTCGGCATGTTTCACATCTGTGGTAAATAAGATGCACTACAACTATTCAACGGTACAGATTTTAGTCTTAAAGGAAAACTAAATTTTCTCATTGAAAGAAAAAAACTGCATTGGTTTGTATGAAAAAGAGCTTTCAGAAGGCACATATGTACCACGTACTTGGGGAAGAAGTTGAGTTGTTTGTATATTATCAATGAAGCTAATTAGTTAAGATAAAATTAACTAAAAATAGAATATTCAAGAATTTTCCCATCATTTTTCAAAAATATGTTCTTTGATTAAAAAGAGTTATGGCGGTTAAGCTTTCTGTGTGGATTGTGGTCCAACACGACTGAACCTGAAATGCAGAGATAAACCTGAGATGGTTTATCTGGCAGTGCTGAAGTATGAGGCACCTATCTGTTTCAGTGCTTTGCCTTTTAACTTTGTCTCCTTTTGCTTTGATTTTATGGGAAAAGCAAAATATGAACATTTAGTGGACCTTCACTATACTGTTACATTAACGTAGTATCCTTCTATATAGCCGCCTGTAGTACACCTCATGCAGCGATTCTAAATCATCGTGTTACTGTTTTTTCACCAAGAAAACCAAGCCAGGAAATGCACACACAAACAAGAAAACGGGGAAAAACTGAGTAAAATTCAAGCTGCCATCCACATTTCCCAACATCCATGAACAGTGACATTCAAATTATTTTAAAACTGAAAGCTCCCCTTCACATCTCGTTCCTAAAATATTTAAGATGATGCAGTGTGAGCAGTCGTTTTTTGCTGGTTGAATCCTATATAATACACTTGGCTGCGCTTCCTCAGGGAATTCCTTTTGCTGTCCCAGCCCTGTGTTAAGAGCTCCATCTTCAGCAGAGAGGATCCAACTCAACCTTTAAATCTCATTTTTCGCACAGAAATAGTTTCTGCTGATTTAGCAGAACATAACCAGTTCTTGAACTGGGATTCACATGGTATTTGTTTTTCACATGAAAAGCAGGCAATTCTGACAATACTGACGTAGTGGGAGCCTGAACTAAGAGAATGGAAATAGCGGACTTACATTAGAGCCACAACTTCAAAATACATGGGATTGATCATCTTTTTACTTCTGGTTTTTTATTAATTGATTGATGGATTGAAAAACGGTGTAGAAAATACTGCTTGGGTAGACTAGCCACAAATAGCTGCCTACCTATTTAGAAAGAAAATTAGCTTGAAAGGATAGCAGCAAGCTCCATCATCTGCAAAGGAAACAAAATTCTCATGAATTGGTGAACTGAATATGCCTTATGGGACAATGCAAATATTTAAACAAAGATGTGTATAAAAGATCAGTACCATTTCCTTCTTCATAAGATATGTAATGTCTTGCTCATCAGAATACAGATTTCCCTAACAGGTCAGAGTATTCATCTAGTGGATCTTTGCATCATGAGCTTAAGACCCCTTAAGCAACTGCAAACAATTCTCCCCATTCAAGACAGCTGAAACTGTCAAGGAGTGGAAATGTGAAGACAGAATTGGCAGAGATCACAAAGACAGGACATTCTCTTCTATTACTCTCCTAACTGGAATCCACTCCCTTTTCAAAGATTAAAGTTTTGACAGAAAAGCAGCTCTCTGTATCAGAAGATCAAAACAAAAAGTTGCATTGACTACTTGAAACCTGAGTTGAAAGAACTTTAGCTCTTTCAGAAATGTCAATAATGCACTGCAGTGACAATGTTGTGATCAGTACTCTACTTAAGCATTAAAATAGATAGTTTCATAAGTAGTTCAGGTAATAAAGTTATTTATTTTCAGTGTCTCATTTCTCTCAGGAAAACATTCATGCTGTCAAGAGTCAGAAAACTAATTAGGAACACAGTAAAGGGATTAAGCGTACATTGAGAGCTGGTGTTTCATTAAGTCTCCAAATACTCAGCCCTAATACATTCAATTTAGCAAGGGAGTTTTGAAAGCAGTTAGATACAAGATTTAAGCTCCAAAAGTCATGACTGAGTAGCAAAAGTTGGAGGAACTAGTTCTGGCCTCTGAGGCAAGGGTGAAAAAGGCAATATTAATAAAAGACATCAAAATGATGCCCATATGCGTCAACTAAAATATGGCAACTAGTGATAGAAACTCAAAAATGTTTATATTACATATCCAATATACATGTGTGCATGTAAAATTAATTAAATTTATTTTTTAATGCCTGGGAAATAATCTTTACTAATTTTCTACACAGATATGTTTAGGCCAAAGAAGTTGAACACTAGTGTGTGCGGCATTGAAGAGAGATGGTCTTATATACTGTGCTGCACCATGACTACAAGCACACTTTGAAACCTCTACCAGTTCTGAGGAAGGTCTGGCCTTTCCTTCAGGAAATGCTGGGTAAGTCTAATTTGACTTAAATTGTATCTGCCTGTGATCAAAACCATTTCTGAGTACCTTTTGGCCTTTGGAATACACTAGGAGCGTGTTTTGAGCTGTTAGTACCATCCCTCATGGAACTGAACCTCCTCTTAGTAATAGTAGCTTAATGAAAACAAACAGCAGGTATACAGTATTATTACTAAAACCTCAAGGGGGCAATGATGGAAAATACAGTCAGTGAGTGTAAGAAAGTTTGGTTTATACTTCTTTCTGATGCACACTCGGATACTCTTGCATTAAGTCTTTTCTACATTGCGTGGCCCCTTTTTGTCCTACGGACCATGCTGCACAAGACAGAAGCATGAAATTGTAGTCCTTAGCAAAAGACGCCTATGAGGATTGTTAGAGATACACCAACAGTTTCCACCTGAGACAGGAAGGTCTTCAACTCATGTAACAAAAAGAATGCAGTGTTTTAATTTTTCTCTTTCTCACACCTTTTTCCTCACATTAAGCTACTAGGGCTCCTACAGTTCAAAATGCAACCATACCCAGTATTGACTACCACTGCTCGTGCACACTTCACAGACGTACATTGTAAGTCTGCAAACCACAAATCTGAAGTTGTCCAGCAAATCTTTCTACTTGCAGATTAAGAAAGAAACTTAAGGAAGATTAAGTGAGAAACTTTGTTTTCTGAACTTGTTGAGGTCTGTGTTTTTTTCCAAGGAGTATTTTGAGTGGCTCTAACCAGAATAAACTCTGTTATCCCATGTACCTGTTAGGACAGACATTCACCTTTCTGTGGCCTAAAGCTTTTCTGTAGCTTTTCACGCTTTGCTGTAGACTGCAACCCTGCCAGAACAACTAATGAACAAAAGACATGAAACATGCATTCAGTTCGGCTGCACGTAATTCCTGTAACCTGTGTAAACACATGAATAAAGGGGCTCATTGCCTCTCACATAAGGAGAGATTACATGAGTAAAGACTAAATTTCAAGCCCCTCTAAATACATTATAAAGACAATCACTGGTAGTCAGCACGGAAATTAAACACTGGGTCAGCGGTATTTCTGGCATACCTTTAATACAATAGCTACGCTAGTAAAACTATATAAGAAGATAAAATTACATCTGTATGTAATTTTATTTTCATTCCTTAGCACAGGGATCTCATTAGCATTTTCACTGTGTTCCACAAAGTGCCATTAATGACACATTAGATAAACACTGTAAGCTTGCCGAGCGCTAGGTCCCTCATCTAGTGCCAAAGAAATTTCCCAGCAACCACGTTTCCTAGCATAAATGAGTTTTAATGTGACCTGGAAAGCTTCTAGCTTTTTTAAATTATCCTGTGGGGTTTTGCATCTTCAGAAAGTCTAGAGAGATTCTGTTGGAAGAGATTCTTAAATTAGAAACATGAAGCCTACTCTTTACTGCCAAATGTACCCTCCTGCAGTTTTATTCTACTAGTTGCCCTTGAGAAGGTAGTTTACTAGTCGTCCCTAATAAGGTAGTTAGGCAAAACCTGGGATTTCCATGAATGAAATTTTAAGTAACAATAAAAAAACTTACGTATGCCTTAAAAAAGTACAATGACTTACATATATGAATGTGGGTTTGGACATCACCTTAGAAGGGAAGTGAAACTAAAGAACTGGGAAAACAGAGAAGAGAAGAAAATGCATGCAAATTTTATATTTTCCTATGCTGACAATACACTAATACACTTCCTTTGTCCTTATGTAGAGTCAGTTAGGTTTTTTGTTTGGTTGCTTTTTTTGCTGGGCTTTTGTTTGTTTGTTTTTTAAAAAACTCTCCTCCAATTCATGTTTCCACTCTCCAAAATGTGTTCTTGTATGTAATTCTCTACAGTAACTGTAGATGGTGATCATAATCAACTTTCACATTTCAGAACAAATGGCAACTGAAAGGATGTCAGATACAACTTTCAGAGTACCTTAGTGTCACACATTTTTGAATTTCAGCATTCTAAGACTACCAACAAGCACAGAAAGCAAAAGTTCCTTGAAAAGGGAAGAGACAATGATATGAAAATTATAATTGTCATTTAATTACCCTTAAAATACTGAACTTACTTGAGAACGCAGCACATCATCATACAGTGCATTACAGCAAACGAGATACTAAATGGTCTCAATTAACATAACACAAAGCAGAAAAATCTATACACTGAAATTATCTCAATGTGATAGACATTTTAAAAAGTTGCAATAATTATTAAAAAGCTTTCAATAAAAAGTTTAAACACATTTAAGTTTCAAAAGAATATTTTGTACATTTTGGAAAAATATAACATTTACTTTACATAACTGAAACATAAGTTATATTCTTTGTAGTTTGTAAGCTTCCATTATTCATACATTCTCTCATACATTTTCTTTTAATATGTCCTTTTCTCTGGACTGTAAATCTAATGTAAAAGTATCACTATTCTGAAGAAAAGCTTGTTTCTGCATTAGTTTCCTGAAAAGTCCATTTGGATTTGCAAGTAGTTCCTCATGTTTGCCACATTCAAGAATTTTACCCTGGCCAAGGACTGCAACAAAATCAGCATTCTGAATAGTAGACAGACGATGAGCAATAATTAGGACCGTCCTCCCTTCCATCAGCCGGTCCAGAGCTTCTTGCACTAGATACTCATTTTCAGCATCCAAAGCACTAGTAAGAAATAGGAAGTGGGGAGGGGAAAGAGGAGGATATTTGTTCTTGTAAGACAGGTTAGATTTGTATGCATTAGACTTATTTTGCTAAAACTACAAACTCTTGCTATTGTTGGTGGAGATGAACCAATAGAACTGCAGGAAAGTTTCATGAATATGCTTAGAGCACACATCCAAGTTATAGGCATTACATAGTCTCACATGCAAAAATATGCATGGAGAAACAACACTAAATTAATTCAGTGAAAAAAATTAAGTTATACTGCAGTGTAATCATCTCTCTTTTACACTAAGATCTTCATTTAAACTAAAGATACAAAAAAGCTTTAAGTAGATGTTTCAAAATTAAGTTACGTATTACAAATTTAACTCCATGAAAAATTAGAACACAGTGTACCAGCTATCCTTTCCACTTTGCATAAACAGCTTTTATCACAGGTCTCCCAGCCAATTCACACCATCCACAAAGCACATTCTTTTTGTGGGTAGAGAAAAATAAGGGGCTAGATAATTTGTGCAAGGGCATGCAGAGGAAGAAGAGAGAACACCTCCCAAATCTGCATTTCACAGATAGATCATTTCTAAGTTTCTATAGTTTCTTTTCTTTCTTACCTTGTTGCTTCATCTAAGAGAAGAATTTTAGGATTCTGAAAAAGAAGGTAAAATTGGTTGTAATAATAATTAGACAAGATCTGGATATTTCTATCAATAGAGAACAGCATTCATACAGCTTAAAACTCCAAGTAAGTGTGCTTCATCAAAACAACCCAGTGTCATTCAAAGCATTACTTTTAAGAAATCTAAATGCTGAGAGGACAAAACAGAAGCAACACTCTTCCATCTTCAAATTTTCCAAACTGAAGTAACAGAACAGTATACAAACTAAACGTGGAGATGATTTTTAATGCATACTTGGCAGCACTGTGGTCAAAAGTCCAATCTCCTATTTACTGCTCTTATGCGGACCTTTTACAAAGGCTCAGCTACCCTCTGCTTGCAGTCAGTCTGCTATATAATACTGTCTAGTAACAAATAACAAAAACGTACCAACAAGCACGATTTCACCCACAGATGAAGTACATAGAACTTAAGAACTAGCATTTAAGAACTCTTCCCAATTAAATTAAAAAAAAAAAAGTTGCAAGCACTCAAATCCCTAAGAAACCTCTTCTGAATTACAGTACATAACTCAAACTTCCTTGATTAAGTTGACAGTAAAAGCTTTAGACTTTATCTGGAAGAGAGGGGACTCCGCTGCACCCCCAAACACATATGTATCAACTAATAATTTATTTTTTACAACTCCCCCCCGCCCCCAAAGTCTCTACTCCCATGAATTAATTGTATTTGATATGAAATGAAATCAGCTTTGTGGTAAAAGAGAACTGGTAATCCCAGTAATCTAGCAGAACTGGGCATGCTAGGATGCTATAGCAACCCGTGTGGCTTAACCTGAATGTAAGCTGGGTTCAGCAAGGCTCAAAACTTCCAATTGAGCATCAGCACCAAACTGCCTCCCTGCAAGGCCCCGTGGCTGTCCCTGAACCAAACTCCCTGTCCTTCTGATCCTCAGAAGCCTCCTCAAATTTGTGCAGCACAGAGCCTGCCCTAAAGCTAGACCCATGCCAACCCTTGAAGAAAAAAATGACAGAACATTGTGCCTGAAATAGTATCTTGTCCCAAATCCAGACTAGCTTCCCTCAAAGCCAAGACATGGCATCTATAGTGCTAGTAAGCTGCCACCCAGAAAAATCAACCCATGAACAGAGACAAGAAGTGTACACAGAGACGCACATAGAGACAAGAAGTGTAACATATGAGTTTACACATTCTTAAAGTCTTCCTTCATCCTTGACCTGGTCTTATGAAAGTGAGCCATTGTACAATGATTTGCTGTTTGGCAAGAACTATCAAAAAACATGACTGAAAGATATGAAGAAGCACTTACATAAGTAAATTGTATTTAGTTAAACCACTCCGCCCTTTCAAACTTCCTCATTAATGTAAAAGAGATACTTTTCTTTTTAAAATATTTTTCCACTTCTCCCACTGAAAGACTTCATCCTTTTTAACCCTTCCTGCCTCCCCACAAAGTGGTTAAATAGCTATTTGGGTGCTCGCTTACCTTGAGTAGAGCTCGAGCAATCGCAATTCGTTGTTTCTGTCCACCTGGTGGAAAAAGCTCAGTAAATTGAAATAGGAAAACTGATGTGAAGTAATTTTAATTGAATGCCTGGGCTGAGCAGAATTAGGCACATGTATGTTGGTGGGGGGTAATGGAGATGAAGGAGGGATTTTTTTTTTAATACTTATGGCAGGCTATGACTTGGAGAAAAATCTGGTAAAAAAAAAAAAAGGATTTTTACTTCACTCTATAGCATCAAGATTTATAAAATAAGCAATATAAAGATGTACCTGAAAGCAAAATGCCTTTTTCTCCAACTACAGTGTCAAATCCTTTGGGAAAATCTCTGATAAAACTAGCAGCATTAGCTATTTCAGCAACTTTCTGAATCTCCTCTGCAGTCACAATAGAAGGATCCTCTGCACCATAGGCAATATTTTCAGCAATAGAACAGGAGAACAGAATTGGTTCCTGATAAATTCAAAAACATAATTAATATGGTAGATCTGTAATTACATGCTCGTATTGTCTCTATCTCAAATAACATAAATCCCACTTACAAGACCCAGCATTAATTTCTTTTATATCCATACAAAAGAATATGTAAGCTAGAGTCAATTGAATTAAAAACAAAAAACCCTCTCCTAACACCAAAATGGGCAGTGAAAACAAATTAAACAGTAAGTTGCTTTTTTAACTGACAAACCAGAACATAACCCTCAATTCCTAATATTTGAGGGAGAGTTCAGAAAGAGCTGTTCATTCAAACATCAGAAAACCTCCCTTTGTACTTTACCACACAGCATTTGCAACAATCATGATCCTCCTCTTAATCTCTACACAGATTTCACGGCATTTTGCGCATTTAATTTATATTAGAGTTTAAAACAGAGAAGAGGACTGGCAGACAGCACAAGTGATGTACAATAGGAAAATGTCTGAAACAAGGTAAGCCTGCTCTGTTTATAAAAGAGTCATGCTATAGTATGAATACCAGTATGAATCCCCTGCTGGTAACTCAAGTGGAATACATACATTCAGAAAGAAAAATGCTAATGTGCCTACAAGAAAATAACTTTTTACACAAAAGCTTTTGGTGGCATTATTACATAAAGCAGATGTTTTGAAATGCAACATATACCCAGGTATCCTTACGCTTTTAACCTGAACATCAACCTAACAGTTAATTGCACTGTGAAGCATCTGGGGAGATGAGGGAAGGAACATACGTATTTTAATTGGTCAAACAGTTTAATTTTAAGAGACCCTTGAACATCTCTCTGTACTTCTGGAGTTTGGGGGTTGCTAGGGAGGGGCGCTACAAGAGAAAGTGCCAACAGTTCAGTATTTTCATGCTTTCCTAATGGAATTGTGATTGCCTGGAAACAACACAGAGCACAGAAGATCAGTTTTCAAATGGTTGTGTAAAATACAATTGTGTATCTTCCATTAATACAAAATGTGATTAAATGTTAAGCTTTGTGTTACTTTCTTCAACATATCATAGCAAACATCAGGATGGTTATACCTATATAATTTGCAACAATGTACTTTCCAGTCTCCACATGCACACTTTTCTTCTAAGCTAACACTTTGAATCTCTGTGATTATTTAAAAACAGACTACAGAATAATGGGACTAGCTCTGAGTACTTCTTTTAAGAACAAAGCATGCACAAGAGCAGTTATGGTGAGGTGGAGGGATTTCACTGAGAAGCAAGATTACATAGTTTTAAAAAGGAAAGTGAGTCACGGCTAGTTGATCACATGAAATTATTTCACTCACTTAGAATTTTTTTTTCTTCCTTACCTGACTCACTGTTCCAATCTTTGTCCTGAACCACAGTGGATTTAACTGGCGGATATCAAAGCCATCGACGGTGATAGTACCTTAAATTAAGATACAGTAAAGTCAAGCATGTTTGACAAGTACTGAGAAGAGGCAGAAAGCACAGTTGAGAACAAGGACCCCTGGGGAATCACATACTGGTGGATCAGAAATGCAAAGCCATGCAGGCACCAGGCATCCCAGAGGGAAGCACGGTGCACCAGTGGAATAGTCACATCAGGACCTCAAGCACAGGAACCTCGACCGTTTACAAGGTGTACATGAGATGTAAAGCATCAGTTGTCACAAATGAGAGCAACACACAAAACATACCTGAGATAGGATCATACAGCCTCAGCAGGAGGGATACAATAGTCGATTTCCCTGCGCCACTTGGGCCAACCAGAGCCATAACAGAGCCAGCTGGAATGGAAAGGCTAAAATCTTTGAAAATTGATGCTTCTGGACGCATTGGATATGCAAACTCAACATTCTTGAATTCCAAAGCACCTCTGAACGTATCTTTGCCTAATGTGATTCCCTCTATATGACAAAGAATAAAATACAGAAACAAAAATCAGCTCAGCCCTCCTAGAACTTGCTTTATAGACACCCAACATAAGTATCTATCTCCACGTTAAACCTAGGGATAGCTGCAAGCCACAATTCAGGACCACAGGGGTTATATTTCAGCCATGACTGAGTCAGTGTGGTATGCCACTCGTTCCTGAATGCAATTTGGGGTTGTTCACCAGCAGTGAACCTGTAGGCTACCTACAGCAAGAGGGAGAATTTGCTTCTTGCTAATACCTAGCAACTAACAATGTTCAGTTCAAATAGAATTATCTGTATTTTTAAACATATTATAAGCAATTTAAGTTTTGTCAATTAGGAGCAATGAACTAAAATGGCATTGCTGAAGGCCAAAGTCCTGTTGCCATAGAACACATGCAAAAAGATAAACATTGGAAATCACTACTGCCCTTTCACCGAGCCACAAAAGTCACCTGAAATACCCTCCTCTTTGGGTAAGAGCAGTTCACTCTCCACTACCTTTTAACTGTGTAGCTTTTAAGCAAAGGCTGTGACTGGAATGAAGCTGCTGCTAGCTTTGTTGCATTAACGGCCATTTTTTAGGAATTTTTTTTTTTTAAGTGGAAAGTATATTTAATAAATTCAGGACAACAGTGTATTCAAAGACCAATCAGAGGCGTAACTCTTAGGCAGCAGTTCACTGAAACTAAAATTTCAGTTTCTGAAATACCGTAACAACCACCATGAATGAACAATTGCCAAAGTAAAATAAAACCAGCTTCTTTCCGGAGCACAGCATTTAATTTAAACAATTATCTTAAAAGAATAACAGTACTAGAAAAAGCTTATAAACAAGTAAGACAAAGAAACACGATTTCTTCAAGCCCTGTTAAATCCCAGCGACACAGATCCATACAAAGCAAACTAACTGGACAGTGCTGCTGCGTTCCCAAAGGACAGAGTCTCACTGATGAAGTGCCTACCGGTTTTGCGAAAACTGGCAGCACTAGAGCAACACCCGAGCAGTGTCTCTTCATGTGAAAGACATGCAACTCGAAACCCTTAATTCTTTTCAGATGCCCCACACAAGTAACCCCCAACCAGCCACAGCACATAGTAGTACATGCCCCTGTTTGGTTAAACAGTAACCGTGGACAGGGAACGCAGACACCCATCAGTAGCAATCCAGATTTCACCAGTCCTGCTGTTCCTAGAGCAAATAATTTATTTTGCTTTTCTTTTTCCCTGCTCTTCTCCAGGCTTTCAGTTTAATGGTAGTAACGCAGAAATGGCAAAAGCAAGAGCATACAATTTCAGACTCCTTCCTTGACATTAATCCATGGACATATACATTGTAACTTGTTAGGTAAAAGCCCAGTGGTCTGTAAACCTCCCTTTGAGAAAAGAAATATATTTGCTAACTCCTGTGCTAGCACCATAATCCTTACTATTACCAAAGTACCAAGTAATCGCTTATCTTTATTCTCAGTTCCAGTTATTGCACAGTCTATTCTATGGCCTGAAATACTGAAATCTACTGCAATACAGGAAGTCTGGTACCACAAGTCCTTCCTCTATGTATTACTGTAAAAGTATCTAAAAGCTATATACAGGATTGTGCATGTTTCTTGTTTAGATTCTAGATACAGGAAAAAAAGACATTGTAATTTATTCCTGAGATATTTGTTCTCACCAACAACAGCTGGAGTTCCGTGAAAATAAAACCTAAGTCGCCAAGACAGTAGATGTTTCAGGTGGGTTTGGACAGTAAAGAAACAGCCTCTCGGCTTTATTGTCTGATGAGCCAGAAATCAACTATAATTGGGTTTCGAGACAAAGGTTTATATCCTTTCCTATATAGTTAGTTTATACTGAAAGGAAATTTAAAAGAAGCTTCTTGTAAGCCTATGCTACATGGATGTCTGAAACTTTCTCCGATTTATATTCCATCTATAAAATGAAGATTGTTTTCTGGATGTCACTATCGGTGTGATTAAAACAATTTAATACTTGCAGTGAGAATGGCTACTACTGCTCACTCTGCACTGGTACCACTGTAAAGATGAAGACCACTGAAATAATCCAGATTAAACACCCAGAAAAATCTCATCCAAATGATGATGAAATCAACAGTTGCACTAGGTCTATGAAGGGCACAGAAAAGTGCAGTGTGACACTGGATGTCATGGAAGGAGATTTAAGCCAGCTTCATCGCTAAAGACAAGACTCTCTAGCTCTCCCTTCATCAGCCAGTTGGTGGTTACCTTTTGGACAAAC